ACTTTCCACAGACCTTGCAAAAGCACAATTTTAGGTCAAAAAATCCATAAAAATTTTTCATTCAATGTTCTACATTTACGTCAAGCAATTTATTGAGAGTGATTCAGCAAACTGTCCACCTGGAAGATATTTCGACATGACATTGTCAAGCTGTTCGCCCTGCGGCTACGGCTTCTATCAACCTCGACCGGGTACTTTCGAATGCATTGCTTGTGATGTTGGTAAGACAACGATGTCCGAGACGGCTACAAACGAAGATGAGTGCCGAGACGAATGCCCAGGTCAGTTTTAGTCAGTCATAATATGAACAATACGAGGCTGCGACCATAATAGCGTGCCAAAGCTGTGCCAGCATCGTGCCAGGACGCGTATTGATTGATCGACCTCTTGGTGAGCTAGAACGGCGCTGGCACGAGCAACTTTAGGCGCAGTTTGGAAGCGAGATGATTATGCTTAGTTTTTCATTGCTTGCCTACAGTTTCTGAACATTTTGTTGAAGCGTGGAATTTTTTGAACTTATGGTAAAACAAAAGCATTTCAGACGGTGAGCATCTATCTTCTTCTGGATCGTGCCAACCGTGTCCAGCTGGAACTTACCGTACCCGGGGAGAACACAAACAGTGTGTCAGTTGTCCACCAGGTAATAGTTTGAAAAATACGAGAGTTTAGCTCAGCTGAGTACATGCTTGTCGGATGTCTATATTTACGGATTTTTGTAGAGGATAGGATCAGCTTTTAGGAGGGAGGAATTGGGTAACATCATTTGGGCGTTTTTATATCATTATTGGGAAATTTAGAATATCGAGCAGCTTGTCGCTTAACCCCATTTATCTGAAAAAGCTGTTGTAGACCAGGAAGTTCATTCATATTTTTAAGGTACCACCACCGAATCAGTTGCATCCACGAAGAGAGAGCAGTGCAATACTCCCAGATGCAAAGTTGGACAATTCTTAGTGAAAGAGACGTATGCATAGATTTTCTTATGACTAAGCTTAAGTCAAATACCCCAATTTAGAAAACATTGCCAGTCGTGCCCCCGCGGTACCTTCCAAGACGAAGAGCAGAAGTCGACATGCAAGCTCTGTCCCACTGACCATACCACAGCATCCCAGGGTAGCACTCGGTTTTCCAAACCTATTGGTAACAGAGATTAAATGCTGGTGTTCCTTAGGAGCCACAGCTGAATCACAATGCTATTCGACAAACCAATGCGCTACCGGTGAGGACAACTGCTCCTGGCATGCACACTGCATAGATCTACCTGATGACAACGACGTCCCATCGTTCCAGTGCAAATGCAAACCCGGCTACAGGGGCAACGGAACATTCTGTCAAGGTTGGTGGATTTTCTACGGT